TTAAATAAAAGATCGTGAATATAATTTTATAATTAATTAAATTTAAACCATATACTTTCAAAGTATATATATATATATATATATATATATATATATAATAACATGGTAAATTAATAAATTAAGCAAATTCCATTATTATTATTATTACTATTTAATATGGTGTTAAATGCATAACCTATAATTCGAAGAACCAAAAAAAAGAAAGAATATGGTTCACTGAATTGCGTATCATTGAATAAAAGAATTATAATAATAATTATCAAAATATTAATATAATAATAAAAGAAACATTAATTGCATTCTTTTTTATTTCGAATATTTTCTTTTTCTTTTTTTGTATTTTATTTTTATTTTTGACGTAGAATACACATACTATGCAAATGTAATGTGTGTGAACATTTATTTTATAGGCAGACACACACACAACATAGTACGGACAATAACAATTGTAGGATAACGTTTTGATATGTTTCAATCGTAATAACAGTTTTAAACCGTACGAATCGTTTTAAACGTTTGCAATAGGATGTAAAAAAAAAAAGAGACAAAATATTTGTCTTTGGATTTTGTCGTAGTCGTCGTCGTAGTCGTCTCACTGACGAAATGAAAAAATCGTAAAAATCGTGTCTGTCTCTCTCTCTCTCTCTCTCTCTCTCTCTCTCTCTCTCTCTCGTTGAATTATTTGGTTTTTTTTCTCTCTTTTCCTTATTTGCACTAGCTTGAAAATTTACATTTGACGAATATAACGTAAAATTTGAAGATAAAAAAAAAAACACTAAAAAAGAGATTAATTGTAATTATAATTATTATCATAGAGAGATAAAATGGAGGATCAGACAAATATTCTTTATGCTAATATTTTTATCGTATTATAACAAACAAAAAATAGAATTACAAGATTAGCTTATCAAATTGAAAAAATGGAGAAGAGGGAAGAATTTCTCGTGTGTTGACAAATCTACGATGTCACGAAAAGAAAAAGAAATAAATAAATAAAAGTATAATTAATTTTCTTCAAATTATCTTTTTGAAACTTTTGCTACACACTGTGTGTAGTACGTTTTGTGTTTAATAGAAATCAATATTATTATTTATTATTATTATATTATTAGTATTATTTATTCGATAAAAAGATTTCACGATTATCATTGTAATTTATTTTGTTAATGATAGTTATTTTAATAGTTATTAATTTATTATTTATATTATATTTGATTAGCATAGGATTGGGGTCGGCAA